TTTAAAGATTATTCAGTACAAACTCCTAGCCAAAGTTTCCACTTATTTTATCTATTCTTATATCTATCTCACTGAAGATATCTTATGGTAGAAGAACCACTTTAAAAGGTAACTGTTACAATCTTCTTTTACTGGGGATGTTTCATCTGTAAAACAGAAGAAGTCTCCCCCTAACTCTCTTTCACCATCCCCATTGGTCACAGTTCTGACATGTTAATTATTCCAGAATAAATCTACTCTCCTCCACTTATTCATCCTTCCACATTTCTAAGGACACTGCAAAGCCATCATGTGCTACAACTTCTCTTTTCTAGGATGACCTCTCTGGGTCCTTCAATTGTTTGTCATAGGGCAACGGGTAGCTATCTAATTTAATCTCCCCTCTGTTATCTGTCAGCCCCTTTCCCACCCACCATGCTCACCCAGCGTATGCAAATTTAGGGACTCCAGATGATGATGATCTTGGGTTTGGTCTAATCAGGAAAAGTGTAACTTTGTTTGAATTGGATACTTGTACCTCCCTCCTAACTGAGCCTAAATTTGAAAACAGTTTTCTTTTTTAGCAGACGTAACATGCATGCTATTAGTACAACTAAAGTCATGGTCATCTATCACTTTCAGGTCATTACCCCCCACCCCCAACCTTATACATTGGCAAACCTAAACGCAAAACCTAACATTTATCACTACTAAGTTCCATCTACTTGTTTCAGCTTATTATTCCAGTCTGAGACTTTTTAAAAGTGTAATACATTATCCAACATATGATTAGCTCCCCTTTCTAACCTTTTTTGGTCATTTGATAAGCTTGCTTTTTTTAAAAAAACTTTCTTTTTCATTGTGATAAAATATATATAACATAAAATTTACCCTTTTAACCACTTTTAAGTGTTTAAGGCTCCAGAACATTTTCATATGCCCAGAACTGAAACTCTTACCCATTAAACAGTAACTTCCTGATACCACTTCCACCCAGCCCCAGGGACTGCTATCATATTTTCTGTGTCTATGAATTTAACTCTCTTATAAGGAGAATTGTATGATAAGATTGCTTTTTAAAAAAATTAATAAAAAACAAAATATTGACTAGGGTATGCATGGCAATCCTCTTGGCTTACATCTATTTTATCACCACAGACAAGCCCAATATATCAAATTTTCTTTCCTGGTGTTGAAAGGAAATAGGTACCAAAATCAAGCTGGCTTAGAGAAATAAGGGGAGACAGCTCTGCTAAGGTAATCCAACCAAGCAAATCTAAGGGGATGTTTGTGCCCACAGAAAGGCATGAATCAGTAACCACAAAGCAAGGAGGAACTACCCCAACTCTTCCTAGACCAAAACTAAGGAAGGCCTAGAGGAGCTCTGTTATGTTCATGAAATATGGAGAATGGTCAAATCAGATATTCTACATCAAAAAATAAATATGAAAACAAATTCCAAAACCAAAAACACATATCCATATATGTATTTATACATACACACACACACACACACACATAACACATACATTTATTAAATGACCTCTTAACATTTTTACCATGACTAATCCCTCAACTAGTAGTTATAAGGTGTTTAACTGTGGCTATATATAGATTTGTGTAAGTGAGCTACAGAAATACTAAGAAAATAATTTCTAAGACTTAGTTCTGCCAGTATATTGCTCATTACTGTATAAGAAAATTGATGCTATTTTAATTCAGTAGGAAAAAAGATTATTTAACAAGTTATTCAAGTGTTTAAACATTTCTCTTTGATTTAAATATTTAACATGTTTTATTGTATGTAAATTTAGTGGGAAATAGAAATCACACCAACCTTACTACTGAATCTTGGTTTAGTAAGCTATTTTAGATGGCTATTTTTATACTCACCTAGTCAACAGAAGTATTAATTTTAAAAATTTTATTATCTTTTGAAATGTTGGTACAAAAGCTATGACAGTTACCTAAAACTTTTCTTTAAGGCTATCCTAATGGGAGAAAAAGAGGGAACACATTATTTATGGGGACTTGAGAACAGGCAGCACTTTAAAACATTTTAAATTTTTCAACACTGTTAATGACCAACTGCTAGTGAATCATGGCATTTGTTTCATGGCACTGTTGTGGAAATTTTTCTTTAAACATAAAACCAGAATTTTTCTAATTCTTGTCTCCTGATGTAAATTACAACTTTGCTGTATCTGACGTAACAAATCTTGTATTTTTCAATACCACTCCATGCATACTTGCTTGCAAATGTTTTTAAAATGTAGATACTCAGGTAAAACATTAAACAAGAAACAGAAATTCTCACCCTCAAGGCATCACACTGCACCTAATCCCCTTAAATAAATGCACCAAGAGCCATCTGAAACCAAATTTTCTTCCTAAATTGCAGCCTGATGGTTTAGTTGGTTCCAAGGTAGTGTACTGAGCAGAAGAGTGGGAGAAAGTATGCATACCGTGGTGATTTTCTTTTCAAGTTTAAAAGTTTCCCAAATATCCTGTAACTCATTATCTAGAGGTACGGTTTGAGTGGGGAGAGGAGGTGATTCACAAGAAACACAGAGGAAAACTACAACTACCAAAGTCAGAAAGGGAGTACAAAAGATGGTGGTTTATCCTTACACATAGGACATTAATGCATAAATGTGTTCACTTCTCTTAGGATAAGAGATTAGCCTCTCACAGTTTCCCTGATAAGTAGAATCCTGCCCAAGGGGTGAAAGTTGAGTATTAGGAAAAATGCTGTAGGATTTTTACCTTTCTATACAGACAGAAGAAAGGATTCCTCAAACTCTAAATTACTCCACCAGAGAAGTTTTAATGTGTTAGAGATACAAAAATAGTGAGTAAGATATTATATAACCTTTATATAACCTGAAAATACTCGAAGTTCAAAAGAATCTTACTTTTCAACTATTTAGTATGGATTCATTTAAAACCTACAGGTTACTTGCCTCTATTCTTCACATTAAATTTTACTTAGTTCCAACTAGAAAATCTTCTAAGAAAAACAGCTTAGTTCAAATGGATTAAATAGTTGCATATTAAGTCAAAATGCTTTTCAAATACCAGTTCTCATTACATGGTAAGAATTTTGTGAAAGTTTATATAAAATAATAATAGCACTAGTTATTATTATTATTTTGTTAACTTAAAATGCATGGAAAATTTTTTTCCTATATTTAAACAGTGAATGTAAAATCTGTAAATGACATAGAATCTCTATATCTCCAAACATTTATTATTTCATTTAATTTTTTTCTATTTATGTTTTCCTATGAATAGATTCACTTTAATTAGATTAAGTTTATTTTATACCATTCACTTATTTCATACAATAGAATCGCAGAAAGACATCAAAAAAGCAACCAACTCTAGAAAAAATTGCATTTTCTTATCAACTTTACTAAATAAGACAATTAATTTCTTTTTTAAAAACCCAGCGTGTACTTTATTGATTTTTCATAAAGGCATATAAGTCCAAAGAGAAAATGGTTTCCTCCAACATAACTTGCCAATCCATGCACCACAGCCAGCCATTTGCCAAGTCTGTGATTTCAATGACTAAGAGCAGAGGTTCATAATATTCATTTACAACTGCATGTTAAGTGACCTGTTATCCTTTACCAGCTTACACTGTTTTCATACTACAGTGATTATTTGTGATTCATGTTCTGAAAAAACACTTCCAAACTGCAGCACGATATTAAACTCACATGGGTATGCAACACACATTCTTCCCTGAGTTAACCACTATTTTGTTAGTCAGTTTCCATGTTCTTTTAGTAAAATGTTTAGGAAACAAAGTGCTTGCTTACCAAATAGTTGAGATCTATAATAGGTAGAAGTCTGTATTTTATAATTATCTATAATTTATTAAAATCCAAAAAAAAGAAGAAATAAACAGTAGGAAATGCCACTAAAAGTAGCCTATTGCTTCAGAAAAATAAAGTGATGTATGGATACCTTTGAGAATACATAAGCACTTATTTATAACATTAAAACCAGCAGTTTTTAAAAAACATATCAATTATTTAAATTTATGACTTCATATGGGTGGTACAGAGAGATGCTTTGATATATCTAATTCTTGAAGAAATAATGCCAAACTGATGACTTATTTGCCAGCTACCTTTATGTGGGTCAATATAAAGAAAAATAGAAGAATATTAATACACATTTGCATGAAATTTTTTAAAACCATCCAAATAGTCACAAATGTCCACTAATATAAAGGTTTTAGTAATACCAAATAAGAAAAAAAAAGCTAGTGATTACAATTTTAAAACACAAAAAATATGGAATGTTAAACCATATCTATTATATAAAATTTATACTAATTTATATATGTGTGTTATTTCCAAATATCTATCTTGGGCTTGCTGGTACATTTAGGCTGAAAAATAATTGATTGTGGAGAAATCTAACAAACATGCAAGGGATTTAAAATTGCCAGTTTATACATGTATAATAGAGAAAAATCATTTTAGATATAAAATTTAACATGTATTACTGTTTGAGATTTGCCATGTCCTCTATTAGCTCAGTCAGAATTCTGATGTAGTCTCTGAGCAAGACTTCCCTACCACTCCAGCTTTCTTAAATGTAATTATGCATATATATGGAAATATACATACAATTAAGCAGAAAAGAAGTATTTTCCTAGTTATCCAGGAGTCTATATCTACTTCTGGCTGTTAAACCATACATATATATCTAGAAAGATGGACAAAAATCAATAGTTCATAATCCTAAAAATTTTAAGTGAAAATTCAAGAAACTGGGTCATCTGTTTCTCAAAGTTTATGAATCCAAAAAGACACACTAATAGAGACAAAATAAATTATTACTTTTGTTAATAAACAAAATAACATATCACAGGGGTTATCCCTTAATGTATTTGGAGTTGGTCTCTGTAAATTAAAGCTTGCATGTTTAGATTTATGTTCACTCTTAAGTCATTATTCCCAATCTTGTCTGCTTATTAGGCTATTGTAAATCCTGGCACTCACCAGTAAAAAGAAGTATGCATACAGTGCTGTACAATGGTGGATTATAAAGTATTTGTCACCAATCACTTTCCAGTACAAAATGAGAAGCAACAAATCTGTAAAGAGGAAAAATAAGTGAGCTATTACACAGGAAGAAAGCTGCATTATTTTTTAAATGTATTTAACACTTTCTCTTGACCTCATCACAGCCCACTCTAAGCTCACAGCACTTTATTCTTACCTCTCTAATCCAAATACTTGATTTGGACTTGACTATAAAATATCTGCTTCTGGATAACGGTCCACCCCATTCTATAGTGACTCCTCCAGGAAGGAGAACCAACGTGGGTATCCTGCACAGTGCCTGAGATATAGGTGTGTCATTTATTTGTTGAAAGTATATAAATAAATGACTTGCTCCAAGGTTAAATAGAACGCAAATATTATTGAATAAAAATAATTTTAAAATAAGCTTAAATTACTGATTTTCATTACTACAATAATTCAAATAGATAAGGTGGTCACAGAAAAAGTTCAAAATGGCCAACTCATTCACAGTACAAATTCAACAACAAAAAATCAAAATTAATAAGGGGTACAATTAAATATTAATTCAAAATAGCAAAAAAACACCAAGAACTATGGCTACTAAAATGATATACAAAGGAAGAGCTCAAGGCATCAATTTTTCTTTATAAGATCTTAGTCTAAACACCATGATTCAGATAATGGTTTCCTTTAACAAAATGGAAACTTCTCAAAATGTTACCACAACTATTTTCTTTACCAAATGGTTAAACATGAAAGACATGGAAACAACTGGCTATCATAGGTGGAAACCAATGGGGGATTCAGGTTTTGTGGGGGTCAGAGTTTATATAATACAAGGGCCTTCTTTTGTAAAAAAAAAAAATTTAATTACTGATATAAAACTAGATGTGAATATTTATAAGGGGAAAAGAAATCATCAGATTACAAATTTTAAAGAGAAAATAAATACCACAAATGCAGAAATGAAGAAAATATAACTCTATTAGTAATTAACTGCCTCTCTTGTTTTCTTCCTTATATATTTCCCTTACACGATTTGGCTCTAAACTCTTTGGTCACCAATTTATATGGTAATGACCTTGTAATATTTTCAATAGGATAAAAAGAATTCACTCTTCATTCATCTTAGATTAGAAAAGATTGTTTCAATGCCTAACTCTCACTTTTAACTATCTTAGATTGTTATTCTATTTGGAAAAATGTTTATCAAATGTCTTTCATATAAGATTTCCTGGGTATCTTAAATATTCAAGATATTCTCTGAATTGACAGTACTCATTGACCATTATGAAGTGTATGTAAATTTTATTATCCTTCTCAATGACAGCATTTTATGCCAAAGGACTAAATCTACTTCCAGTGTGCTCACATGATTTACTCTTCTTTCAATTGGGCCATCCAATAATCCAATAGCCTATTCATTATTTCTATTCAAAATTTATCTCTTCCTCTTAATGAGTCACTCTGTTTTGGTATAATCTAATTTTTTCCTACAATTCATTTTTTGATGGTAGAAAATTTTCCATGGAGTCCATCACTTCGGACTTCTTGTCTCTGTCACTTCTGTTTCACAGTCCATTATTTTTATTTGGATTTTCTTTCAGTTATTTATTAAATTTGAGAATTATAAACAGGGTTCCCTACATAAATGTCCAAGTCAAGGATCTGTTCTTCCTCTGTTATTTTATTGGCAATCCAAAAGTCTTCCCAAAAAAATGGCATCTTCTCAACTTAATTTAACTTCCCCTTTGTCTCACTGTATAAAAGGCTACTCCAACCATCCAACATGATGGGACCTCGGACCTGAGGGAAATGTAGAGTAGAAAGAATCCTTGATCTTAACTGATTATAGGCTAAAATAGTTTACCTTTGCAAATGTTAACCAAAGCAAAACAAAACCATGACTGTGGGAACACATTTCAAGGGCCTTTTGCAAGTCAGGAACCGAGACTTGAATTTCATTATCTGCCCAGTGATTCCACCTGAGAGACTATTCAGGCCAAAAACGGACCATTGCTAGTTAAAATTGTCCCGGCCCAACTGAGGCCCCCTCTGCAGCTCTATCTTCAATGAGAACCAGGGAGCCAACAGGAAAAAGGTTTCATGTGCTACCATAATTTTTCCCTCTGTATGGGCCCTAAAAGCTACTTCTCAAATAAATAAATCAAAATCTTCCTCTGCATAATTCCACGAGTACTTGAAAAAGGGACAGTGAACAACATATCACATACCAGAAATGATGTAGCCTGAAGAAATAGCAATATTCACTTTCACAAGCGATGGATCACCCCTGTAAACATTAAAAAATAAATAAAAGCTTTCCTTTTGTAGCATACAGGTTATAGATCACAGTTACATTTTTTTTTCTACTGAGAAATATAAATAAAAAGCTTTCTATAGATTTTCAAATGGTAAATTGTCACTTGCACGAGGTACCATTTTAGTTATAATACTTCTAACAGCACAAATAATGATTTCCTATATTTATTAGCCAAAAGTTTTATGAAAATAATTTTGCCAAAAGACAAGCTTTTTGTAAGTGTGTTCTCATATGATGTTTTTGTGAAAGGATTCAAATGGAATTCCAGATGCTAATTTTTTTTCAATTCCTTATTCTGAATCAGAGATTCAAATACTCAAGAAATCATCTAGCCTGCCACTGATTTTGAGGCAATGCACTATCATCAATATCCCTTTACTCAGGACCAGAGGGGTTTGCCTTTTATCACGCAATTAGGAAATGGTTAGAATAGAACAGTTTAGTCCTGCTCTTTTGACCCCATATGTTATCAAGATCCTATACCTTTGTACTAATAATGCTCTCTGCTCCAAAAAACAAATTATCAGTCCTTTATCTGATTTATAATGTGACTACTGATGAAATGAACACAAAAAAAATTGATAATAGCTAAACTACAAATGGAAAAATGCAGAAGTTACATCTTCTTTATAAATTTTGATCTGCAAATATGACCCAGAAATATTCAGCCTGGGATAAATGATGGAATAAATTATTTTACAAATAAAATATGAAAATATCAAAATTATAATAGATAAAAATTTGATAGGGTTAAACTTGATTATGAATCAAATCTTTATTATAAAATTGACTCTGAAAGAACTGGTTCTGTTGACAATAATATTACTAAAATAAAAAAATGTTTTAAAGCTAGAAATTATTCAAGTAGATTACATAAAAACCTGGTCAAAGAAGTAAATTTACTAAATTGATTCACTTAGACAAGTATCTTTCCAATGAAAATGTATCAATACTTATATAATTCTCATAGGCAATTATAATTCCATATTTATGAATAAGAAACAGTCTCCTTGCAGTCAAACAAATGACCAGAATACTTGCTTAAATTGCCCCACATCTTCCAGAGCCCATGGCTACCACATTCCTATGCAGTGCTTTCTCAAAATGTACCTCATCTCTCAGACTCAGCTGCACTAAGCTTCCTAATATAATGCCAGGAAATAGAGTTTGTGAAATTTGTGCCATTGGAATGACATCTAGAATTTTCAAAAAAAACTATCTTATAAATTATCCTACTACTGCTGAACATAGTTATTATTAGTGCTTCAGATCTCATGTGGTAATAAGTTCCCCTCACTTGGACATCTGTAATTCTCATTTTCTTATCTTAGGTATCAACTGATAGGTTAAGCATACACTTGAAGACTGAGTCTTAAGTAAATATTATCCCAATTATCCTGTCTCAATAACAATTCATTTTTTCTCAGAATAGTATTTACAATAACTTGATCTACTCACTAACAGAGCATAAATGTTTACATCATCATCATATTCTCCCTGTTTTTGGACAACTGGGATACTAAGGCAAAATGGCCCTCATTATTTGTATTCAAATCTAATATAAATCATTTTATTAAAACCTTGCTGAAAAAGAATAAACACAAGAATTTTAAGAAACCACATAGATATTCTTATTAGTAGTTAATACCAAAGCATAAATCAAAGTGACTATATTGGAAAGAAACAGCTTACCAAAGTGGATCAGCTTTGCTGGCCTCATCAAAGAAGAAAATGTACAGGCCCAAAACCCCAACCACCAAAGAATGACATGTAGATACTACCCTGAAATAAAACAGAATAACATACAAAGATTTTAAATTCTTTACAATAAACTTTTAATTCTGGAAAGACATTTAACATTCTGGAGAAATTAAATCTGGAAGCTTAAATATAGGAATGGAGTACATCTGAAAGTAAAATACAAAATTGTCATTTGGAAATCCAAGGGCCACAACTTTAATTTGGAATTAATAACAAAAAGGATGCCCAGGTCTATAATTTCCTGCTAGAAAATTGTTGAGTCATTTATTGGTTAAAAAGTTTTCAGGCAGAGGCATATCTGATGATGCAGCTGACAGTTTTGTGCAGACAGATGGCAACTGGTAAACAACCATTAACCAGGGTAACCACCACCTGAACCTGCTCCACGCTCCATCCACAACCACATCACTGCAGGAACAGTTTGCGGCTCCAGTTAGCTAGGAATGACTTCCAACTCTGGCCTCAACCAAATTCAAACCCTTGAATCCAAATTCAAATGGATCATGAAATAAATATTTATTACCTCAGAGATGTCAGTTTCAAATGCACATTTACATGCATTATTGCACTTGGTTCTTGCAACAAGTCTGTGAGGAAGCCAGGGCAGCTACTATTAGTCTGTCTTTATGAATATTATGAAACGCTTTTAAAAAGAAAAATTAAGGACCATGAATTTATACAAAAACTTCTATTTTTAAAAGAAATACCCAAGTAAAAGAAAGATGTTCCCAAGATCCAATGTTCCCAAGATCGAATTTATCTTTTATAGAAGAAATACAGTTTAGATGAAAAACTTAATTTCTATGAATGTATCTTGCTAATAATTTAATGACTCAATACCCAAACTCTATGATAGACTACGTCAAGAACTGTAAATAGCACACTGTATGTTTATTAACACAATGAAAAAGTTTACAAGTAATCAAGTTTCTTTTCTCTTCATAAGAATAAGGATGAAAGGACTAGCCAAGTTTTCTCTTTAGAAATTAATGGTATGCAATGAAGTTCTAAAATATGACCCCACATCTTTAAAAAGAAGTTAAATATGTCAACCAGTGTAAAGCTTGATATTAGAAAATTTTATTGTAACTTGAAAAATCAATATACTTGATTTAATAGATGACACAGTCCTAAATAGATGCATCATGTTACATCAAATCATATTTTAAGTTCTCAAAGATTTTCACTAATTTAAAGGCATTGACAAAGAATCCATTGTAACACCAAAAAATCATTTTGTAGTCTGAATATTAACCCAATTTACATGATTTACAAGTGTAGAATTTTCATACCTGTATTCCATTTGGAAACTGAATAAAACTATAAGTTCCTTGATGTCAAATAAAACACTCCATCTAAATAATCATACCACCAGCTTTCTGCTGCCATTCAAAAATTCCATGAAAAGAAAAAGCATAACCTTAAACTAACCTGTTTTAGTGTTTAGTAACCTTACATCAAAAAGTTTCCTCTTCTTGGAAAAAAACTAATTTTTTGTTCCTGATACTCAAGCCTCAAATTCCCTTCTCTGTTGAAATGTTGTATGGTAAGTGTGAAGAACTACAACCCTCAGCTGATGGAAATGGCATATAATTCATGAGAGAAAAGTTAAATCTTACTCGGATCAAAGAGCTTCCACTGTAATACAGAAGGGGCAAATATCCTATGCTTACATATTCTACATTAAAGGTCTCTATGTTCAGACACTTCTGTTAGTAAAAGTTTCATTTTAAAATCATATTTTAAAGCAAAACGTAGATTCCTTAGTGTCTAAAAAGAGACACCAAGATGCTACTCAAGATAAAATATTTCATTTTTGTTCAAGGAGAGTTAAAAAGAAGTATTTACGCTTATAAAAGACAGTTCTCTTTTTTAAGAAAATTATCATTTTAGCACAGCAATTTAAAGTTACTGATTTAATCATTTGCATGTAGTCTGAGTACTACCAGTAGAAATTACATAGCTCCAACAGACAAAAGAGTTAAATTTTGGAGAAGTAGATTTAAAAATTAGGGGCATTTCAACACAATAGAACTTTCCATACCAGCGGAAGGCAAGTGGATGTAAGATTTTATAAGCTATAAATAATATGTACAAGTTTGTGTGCTTTCAGAAAGAGTAACAAGTACAGCTGATTTCTCACTTAAAACTAATTAAACTTGTTTCTCAGGTGTGAATTTTCTAATGAGTTTTTTGTTCCTCCTGTCCTTTTCCTAGACCTCTCATTGTTTAGAGACTCTTCCGGATTAGTAGGAAGAACTGTGTGGGTTGTGTTGATCTCTATTTCAAGACATGTATGTGTACTTGAAAAACAGCCAAATTTTTTTCCTTCTTTGCACATTCCACCTTACAATGTAAGTCCCATGTAAACCAAGCTAGAGTGGGAAACAGGAGTAAATATGAGAGAAAGAGGGAGAATATCACATGAATAGGAGAGTGAATCTCAGAGAATCCCAGACTCCTTTTTCAAAGGGGAACTCAGATTCCCAAATGGCAATTCCATGCATTGTAAAATGACAGTGCTAAGACTGAAAAATGCGAAGTATTTTTGAACTTTGTTTCACTTTCATCTTTGCTTCGATCTCTCTGTACCTTCCCTATCTCTGTGGCTTGCAGCTCTCCAAGATTCAAATGCCTTTCCCTACCCTAACCATGGTGAAAAGACAATGAAGACAGTTCAGAATTTAGTCATAGAAAATGCATGTCCCCCCATCCCTTCCTTCTCTTTCCCACTATACTACCTTTGTGTTAGAGTTTTAAAAAATAATGATTAGTATCTTTTGTATCCCATATTTCCAAATATCTTTGTGCTATTCTTAAGACAAAAGAGTCATACCTCTTACATTTCAAAAACATCTGGAGAAATAATTCTCATTTATTGCATGAAAAGAGCTGTAGCATGTATGAACCAGACAAATCAATATAAGGTGCAAAAGAAAACATCTAAAGTCTTATTCACAGTGAGAGTTATAAAAGGATGCCTGAAGAACAATTTGGCTCAAAGACAAGGGATTTCAGGTCAAATATGACCATTCTCAAAGAAATACTTAGACTTTGGCAGAAGTTCTTTAATTCTAAAAGGAAATTTCAATGAAAAACAATTATAGCAATTTTAGAAACCTAAATTCATTTTCAGTTAGCATTAACTTCAACTAAATAAAGATAACAAAAAGTATTCCCATGGTGACTCCAGTACCGAGGTATGCAAACGCACAATGATGTTTGGGCACCTGACATGCTCTCAAACAAGTGAAGCAGTCATCAGAGTCACTTTGTGTTTGAAACCTTCTGAGAGGTTAATGAGTTGCACACAAAAAAAAATGTGCAAAGCAACTAATTATAACTTCTGCAAATTTCTATATCCTTTTGTATATTATTTGTATTCCATTTACGTTTTTGTTTAAAAAAATCTAAAAGGCAATTTTTACTTTAGAATTGTATAAAAAAGACCAGATTCTGGAGGGCTCTGAATTACTGAAAAGTTCACTGAAAGAGAGAGACAGATGTGCCAACGATACACCATGTTATCTGGTGTATGGCATTTCACTGCCCTCAGTCTAGCTAAGCCAGCTAATACTATATAAACAGGCTACTCACAGCCCCGACTAACTTTTACTTCTGCTATCATTTCCAAAGAACATGTGGTTGGTGTCATAAATGTTCCTTCCATAGAAGAATGCAAAACAGTATTCTTATACCATCAGCTGGAAGCTACTTAATCTTCTCATACTTCCCCAGAATGTTAAAATTTTCCTAACACCTTGCACTATAAGAATTTTTATAATTTTCTTATATGAGATCTATCTATTTATCTTTCCTTTTATTCCTAAGGTCAAATGAAAAAAATCTGACCTTAGATTTTTATTAGGTTCAAATTGAGAGAATTTTTGGAAGTATTTTAAATAATTTTATTTCATAAAACTAGTTTTTTAAAAATCAGTTACATTTTCATATGTTTTACCTTGAGTTCCACTCAATCTTCTTTTCGAAGCTGAGACTACTGAAACCTGTAGAGACTTTTGCTGAAAACCAATAACTTACAGAGTAGAAAAGAAGCTGAAAGGTGAAAAAGCTGGTAAAAATAGTGCTGATGACCACTTTGGTGTTGGTATCCATATTTCTTCAACCTGTTAAAAGAAATAATGGCTATGAATTGCTTTAAATTGCTCATGATGAAACTTAAATTTTTTAATTTTGTAAGAGTATGTGGTTGTCTTTTTAGTAACTTATTGTAATTTAGCACAAATATAAGAATACAAAGAAACTATAAGAATTTTAAGACCTCACCACCTGTCTGTCATATATCTTAGATGTGTACTTAAAATAGAGAAAAACCCATTATCTTAAAGATTTCAGTATTAGAAACTTGAGAAGACAAATTTAATATCATGTTATTCAAAATTACCTAATTTTTAGAGTTTAACATTAAGAGAGAATTTTAAGTACTATAAACCGAAGGTATTCTTTTAGTAATATCATGTTTAATTAAACTTAGGACAAATCATTTGATTTCTCTATTGCTCATCTATAAAATGAGAGAGTTGGTTAGATCATTTCTAAGAAACAAGCCAAAAATCGTAACAGATCATTACCTGGAATAGCAAAACAAAAAAAAAATTTCATAACAACTAACTGTATAGTGAGTCAAACATTTAAAACAAAAATTTAATCTAAGAATAATGCCATCTTAGAAAAGAACCATACCACTGTTACTGCTTAAATTAGTTACTTATTAAAAAAAATTTTTTTTTAATCACACCTACCTTTGGACCAAAAATCTTCCATGGCTTTTTATCTCTAAAATAAAAGATTTTTATAAAAAAGCTCCAAGTTTTAAGGATAAAGTTAGGAGAAAGAATAGTAATATGCATATATACACAAAGTGTGTTTTCTGTCTCATTGAGCTGAATTTTATTTGGCTTCTAAAAATCTTAGGAATATTCAGACTAAAAAAAGACTCTGAAGCATTTGCTCATATCCAGCAAATACAGCATTTCTATGGCTCCATCTTTGATAGAGCTGACCCTCAAATAAAAAGGAAATGAATCAATACATATTTCCAGCTGCCTAATGAGAAGAAATAAAGTCACCTACTGAAGCCAATTCACTAGAGAAAAACCAAGCTATTGACTGAGCTGGCAATAACCCCACTTCATTCCCTTCCAACCAGGATATCATAATAAGAATCAGTCTCCCACAGGGCCCCTTCTGACAGAATTCTTGTGTCTGTAATGAATTTTCCTCATTCTTTCTTTCTGGTATGTGTGCCCAGTAAAAATACTGATAATACAATTGTTCTCCATGAGGTTCCATTAACTTTATTGCTCATTTACTTTTTTTTTTAATTCAACATGTGCTTCTTGGGCATTAAAAATTTTAATTTGCAGTCTTTTAGCCTAGAGTTAATATTAACCAAATAATATATAAAAGCAAATTTTGTACATAAATTCAACATTATTATAATTTGTTAAGTGAGATGTAAAGGGAAAATGTTTTTCTAAGATTAAAGCAAATGGGGATCTGGAGGTCTGGTGGGCAGATAAATGAAGAAAATGAAACTAATACTAGAAAAGAGTGGAGAGTCTAATGTTAAATGTGAGGATGGTTTGCCCTGAAGAGTTTTATATGTTCCCTGCTAGTTCTAGAGGGTGGTTGGGCATACACAGGCTGCTTATTTACTTTTGTTAAAATTCAGTGTATATAAGAAACATTTCTTTCATGAATGTTTGATAAAAGTTATATAATAAACCATTGTAGGTATCACATGATGTCCATTTTATGAATTATTAATTTAACCAATACATTAAAAAAGACACTCAATTCATCATTAAGAAATTCCCCATTCCTAAAAAAAAGCTAGTTTTTATTAAGTCTTTGTTATGCTGGCTATTTTATATTTTTTTACATACTTAACTTTCAGTTAACTGGGGTCTTTGGGGAATATGTTGAAGGCCTGCCTTTGCAAAAATGTTTCATTTAGAATTAAAGAGCTCCATACAGTGAAGGTGTGGCTTCCATTAAAGACTCAACAGACAGAAGCTAATTAAATTGTTCTATTCCCAGCTTTGCTTCTTATTAGGCAGCTGCTTGCTTCATCAGTCATCCCAAATCAAGAACTAATCTACAGGGTTTTTGTTTTTTTTGTTTTTACAAATTTCCTCAGAAACTAAGGCTTTTGTTAGGAAGCAACTGCCCCTATATTTATTCACTGAATCAAGCAAGAAAATGGTAAAAAAAAGGATAAAACCAAATAAAGCTTATTAATGGTTTAGATCAAGGGCTTTTGAGAGTTTGGTAATTTATTAAGCAAAGGAATACACAGTAAAAGTATAAAAGTATCAAACCAAGTTCATGCAGTGCTCCATGTGGTTAGTAACTGGCAGAAGGCTGGGATACTGTCCTAGAAAGAAGCAGCCCTAACAGAAGTGGGAAATATTTCTGTGGCAATTTACAAGGGGAGTGTCTAGACATGAACTTCACAAAATAATTAGCTCATCTTGATTCACAAGAATTGTGGACACTAAAATTTTCAAGAGGCTCAATGAATAGAATGTTTGTACTTTCTCCCCCAAGACTGTTTTCATAAAGTTTAATTCAAGCTGGTTTCTTAGTAGAGAAGAACATAAAAAGGACTTAAACCTTTCAACCATCAGGTTATGAGAGCCCTTCCCAGAGAGCCACCAGAAACAGCACAGCCAGGCTGATTCAGTCTTCACTTCAGCCAGCAGTACAGCCAACATCTGTCATGTGTCCAGCACATGACAGGCACTGTGCTGGGACTCGAATACCAAACAGGGGACATGCTTAGAGTCCAGTAGGGAAGGAAAGAAATTAATCACCACCACATAAAGTGGTAAGTTCAGGGTACCAAGCAACATGCCCTGCTTTCTGGGGAATAAATACCCAGCAGAGGGGACACATAAGTAGTGAGAAGAGATCCAAGATCTTCAAGGTGAGCCAAGAAGACATCTTCTCTTCTATTATAATCCCAAGACACCTTAAGGCTGAAGCTCAAAGGACTCAGTTTCATCATGTAAGTCTAGAACTTCCCAACCTGGGAACACAACTACTATCCTTATTTCTCAGGTTCATCATTCTCTTAGAATACAAGGGATTCCTTAGGGAGTATGTCAGAATCACCAACGCCACTTCCACACATATAACCTTGCTACTTCATGTTCTGATACAAATTCTAGGAGAGAACTACCACTGTAGTGATTAGCAGTAAAAACCCTTAGTTGTCTTTGAGGGCATCAAGGAAGGGGTAAGATGGAAAGAGCACGTGCCCTACTCATGCTTAACATTCCTTTTCCCATCCCCAGTAAGCTATTTTTCCTATTTCCCACACTGACTCCAAATTTTCACTGCTCTCAAACCTCCAGTTCTCCCTCTCGTAAACTAGATAAGGTTACTTCCCATGACACCAAAAAGTGGAGGCTATGAGGCATGACCTCCATCAACCCATGGCAATGTTCACACCTCCTGGTGCCCTGACCCAGAACCTCCTCTCTGCACACTACAGACTCTGCCTGGGTGTATGACGCAGACCTTCAATGTGGCTGATGTTACGTCAACCAAACTGCACCATCCCCCAGCACACCAGCCCTGGATGGTCAGCCACCCTCTGCGTGGCTCCATATGGGCACCCTGAAGGCTCCACATGACCCAAGGTGAACTTAACCCCAAGCCAGTCCTTCCCCATTTCAGCGAATAACACTATCACCCACAACACCTCCCCATCTCCCAGTTGAAAACAGCTCAAGTCACCCTTGTCTCCTTCCTATCCGTGAAGCCCACAACTAGCTGACTGCCAAACCCTGGTGGACTGAAGAATAACAAAGGAAGGATTACATGATTCCAGGGAAGTTCTGGGAGCTACACATGACAGCCTTATGAAGAATGCAAAGGAATGTGGCTGGATAACAAAATAAGGTAAATCCAAAGTTAACTGAAAAACTAAAAGCAACAGGTAGATTAATGATCTGAAGTAGACTTGAGACATCTGCTACCCTGTGAGGTTTTCTCCTTTTGGTCTGTTTCAGTAATATTTTTACAAATCTTTATGTTTACTCAATTTCCATGTAACACAGAGCTGGGCAAGATAAGCTAATATAATGGGTTAGCAGAAGCAGGCTTCAAAATTATCTTCATAAGCTGAAATAACAAGTCTCAGAAAGAAAAAACATAATAGAAATAAAAATTTTTAAAGGCAATACCCAATACAGGTCTTAGCACACTAGCACACACACAGGAAACTTTAGCATTTAAACTACACAAAGCAATGAGAGATAATAACGTAATGAAGACACTAATAAAAAACAAACTTCAGGCTCATTTATAATTGGATATTGTAGAAGTATACCTTTAGATCAAGACACATTTCAGTCCCACCTGAATATGAATTAATCACAAACTGAAGTACCTTCAGAGTAGTGTAATTAAGGTGATTTTTAGAAACCATATCATATTGTGAAGAGTTGAAGGGCTGAATAATGTCAGCTTGGGAACAAGATTACTTAGAGAGGACTTGAGAGCATTCTTAGAACATCTTAAGACCTGTCATGTGGAAAAGTAAAAGAGGGAACTTACTCTGCATTACTCGAAATGGCACAAATGAGCAAAAATTACAGGGAGGGAAGAGTTTGGCTGATTTAAGGAAGAATCTTCTAACAATTTAGAAGTGTCCAGGCATCCATCACGGAAGTGGTGAAAGAACCGCTGGCAGGGTTGGTCAGAGGAGAAGGCTGGCACTAGTCTAACCTTCAGACCACCCTTCCTCCCAGTAAGGTTCAGGGATTCCAGGACTGAATTTAATTCTGATATCTAAAAAGACAATTTTATGCTCAATATATATTAGCTTCTCAACATTTATGTTTTAAAAAATCACTTGTTTATTTATGTTTAAATGTATGTTTAAAAAATTTACACTTAAAGTATCAAAATTACACATGTAGGAAAATATTAAGTACATTAGCAGTGGGGAGTACACAGGCTTGTCGCAGTCTTGAGTTTGAATAGCAGTTCCGCCCCTGACTAGCTGTGTGACCTGGGATAAACCACTTAACTTGCCTTATCTGAAGCTCAGTTTCCTCATCTGTAAAATGAAGACAAGAGCACTAAGCTGCCA